TTCAATTGACTCATGATCTCAACTATTAACATTACTATAATATCCACAAAAAACCCCTTCTGATATTAACACAGATAAAGTGAACAATGAATGTTCCATAGTCTTTGTTATTTTACATTTATTCATTCTTACTTAATACTTGAAATTTCACATTAATTAAATTATTTTCTATCATTCTATTAACTCCATCTGGAACCCCTCTGTAGCTACAGCTGATCCCAAGTCCAGATAAAAGAAGAGGGTTGGGCATAGAGTTAGAGTACTCTATCCCGTGGCAAACTAGAAAAATCCTTATCATTCTCTATTTGTCTTTCAATTATCTCATAAATTTTTATTGAATAAATAAATAAACAAACAAACTATTTGTAATCTATTTCTGTTTTAACTATTCAACAATCATAAATGAATTAGGGGCGGATATAGTAATTCTGGTTATTTGCTTTGTTTTATTGAAAATCAACAACCAATCATTAATCACTGATCTATTATCAATTTATAGATTAACAAAGTGTTTTTTTCGGGGGGGGGAGGGAAGGGGAAACCATACCCACTGAATGTATCATTGTTTGTTTATTTTTTAGTAGAATTTCATGTTTCTATATTCAATGATTTACCGGTAATATATGTGCTTGTAGTTTTGCATGGGAACTAACCACTCACACACCTATATATACATATATATATATATGCCTATATATGTGAATACATTATATCTGATTAAATCAGTCTTTGATTTGAGTTGATAATTCAATCATCATAATAGTTGGAAATAGGTTCTCTGTGTTTATTTGATCTTTTTTTTCTCTTTTTTTTGTATGTTAGAGATAAGGAGTCATGAAAAGTGAGTATGGTGTAGTATCTAAATTGAATGAGATGAACAGTATTATTCTGTTCAATAAATAACCCCCAATCGATTAAATAAACCAACAAAAAAATTATCTTATTTTCATATTTAGTTTACTAAACAACCTGGAATATTGTTATAAGTCATGGTCATTATATGCTTAATTAGTCCAATTCTTATCAGTATTAAACGTGATTATTAAAATAGTGAACTTATATTCAATTTTCCAGTATCTATTCATACAGAGAATTTAGGAACTGCAAACACTCAAAAATTCATAAATTTCAATAGTTGAGATCATGAGTAAATTGAATCTAGACCACTATGAAAAACCTGAAAGCAATGGATGACCGTTTCGTCCCATCGTCGAACTCCTCAGTGGCAGTGAGCATCCATGATACCGTCTCGCCAGATTCCAATATAGGACCTATCAGTGTCGCGCACGAACACTCAACATCGAAACCACTAAGGTGATATCCAACACTGTTAATATCTAAATTCAACTGATCCACCAGATTGAACGACACATCCACCACTGTCACCACTCAGTTACTATCTCACAACAGACCCTGTTGAACTCCTCTAGTCACTGCTTCTCATTAGAACTCCAGAAAATACCTCTTGAATCCAATCACTAGTGAGTATATGTTGATTAATATGAGAAGGAGTTTTTTGTAGATATTCTAGTAATTTCAATAGTTCAGATCATGAGTCAATTGAAGCTAGACCACGAAGGAAAACTTGGAAGCACTGGACGGTCGTTTCGTCCTACTGTGTGGCACCTCGATGGAAGTGCGCACTCACGATCCCGTCTCGCGAGATTCAAACTCATGACCTATCAGTCTGGCGCGCAAACGCTTAATCCCGACACTACTGAGCCAACCGGCATCCGACGGTGTTAATGTCTAACATCAACTAAATGTGAAGAACGACGACTAAATATAGGTTGGGAAAATCGGTGTAATCATCCAACCTAGAAAGGGATAAGATTATCACAAAGCAATAGGAAAGGTGATGAAATTGACCCTCTTCAGAACTGTTGAAGGGAAATCTATCTTTTCACTCTCAATTTCCACTTTTTATTGTGATCTTTGTATTATAAACTGTTTTGATTGGTTTAATCATTTTTAATAAATTATATTTTAGATTAAAGTCTGATAACAGTCTAATTGAAAGCACTATTGTTCACTTATATATGTTGTTTTAATTACTATAATGTATGTGGGAAACTTAAGACTAGCATCCATGTTAGTCAGAATGATATAGCTCAAACTACTACACCACACTCATCAATGAATACTTATAGCGAAAGAAATTCATAATTAAAAAGAGTGATTTAATCTGACCATTGAATATCAAATGTTATGTAACTATGTGCATATGAAATCATGTCAGATGGTTACAGGAGTCACCTCCACTAATGCCGCATGCGAACAAATTAATGTGAAACAACAAATATCAATTATGTAGAAGAATAATTAGAGTTTGACTCGCATATAAGCAAATAATAAAACAATCCTTATCAATGACAGGATGAAAAGGGAATATCCGACGCTTTAACCGGGGTGGTGGACACGGAAAGTCCACCTAAGGGAGTTGGAACACCCTCATTCCAAGCCAATGATGCACATAGGCCCCAGGATCTTGAAGGAACAAATCGCGTATAAACCAATCGTGATCATCGGCTACCATTGGACTGCATCTTGTGACGTTGCTCCACTGCCTTGTGGATCAGACCTTCATGTCGATATCTCCGGGAGTAGCCCTCTCTAAGATAACTACCTGCTTCGGTTTGTGTGGTAACGTGTGGACTGCAGGTTAGATGCGCAGCGTTTTATTGATCGATTCAGTGACACGTAAAACACGTAATGAACGACCTAGAGTCCCGATTGGCCCTGCTTCGCCGTCTAGCCCAGCCAGCTGAGTCCAGAACACAAGCCACAGCCTCGGAGATATGAATCATTATATTTCAGACATACTCTGTTTATATACCAACCAAGCAAACCACATCGTACCATAAAATAGAAAACAACATTTACACAATATTCAACAAGTGAAATAAATATCGACCAATAGGGAGTGTACATTTAAAGTCCAAGGCCACAATTAGACTTAACATGATAATTATTGGTATATCTCTCTGAACATCCTAACACCTCCCTTTTTTTGGAGACCCGGAGTTGATATCCGGATTTTAAAATTCTCCGCGTCCGTCCACCCCCGCGAAATATTGTTGAGTCTTCATATCCCGAAGTTACAATTAATTTGACTGCATTTAAAACATATGGAACAGGGAATCCAGTAAGAGTGACCAGATCGTGAGGATAAACGCCATTCAATTCGAAGTCATCAGAGTTTGAATCTTCTGGAGCATTGTCATCGAAATTCTTGAAAATCTTATTAGTAGATAGTTGATCACTGGGATAGTCAGCGTGCGACAAAACTGCACCAGGTTCTTGACTATTATTTGATGCATGTGACATATTTTCTGGCACGAGGGGTTCTTCTTTTGAGCTGGACTCCTCACTGTCTGTACATGTTTCGGGCACAGTGGGATTTGAACCCACGACAGTGCATGTTTCTGAATTGGACATTTCTGGATCGCTGGACGGATCATGAGCGACTGCCTCGTTTGCATTACTGCTCGTCAGGGATTCATAGAGGCTTTTATTGGCACATTCATACGTCCTGCAGTCATTTTCGAGTTCAGTATGCAAGTGAGAAATTACCTCATCAACTTCTGTCACATCTCCGAAACATGGGAAATCTAGCAGTCGTGTGCGTAAATTGTCCAAAACATTCAACTGGCTCTTTCTGAAACGCTGCTGTTGGCGGTCAAGTAGTAACTGCAACTGATCGGGAAGGATAGTCATTTTCTGAATCAGCAGGGTAATGAGAAATACTGTGATCAATTAACAACCAATGTCTCCCAAGGACGCCGATGCCAAATCTGGATACTGATTGGCCAAAATAATTATGCTGAATCTCGTCCAATTAGAGGGTTCAAAATTTTCACTAACCCGTCGCCAGTTGTTGTAACGTATGAGACTGCAGATTTTGATGTTAGAACATGATTGAAAACCTGGAAGCACTGAACAGCCGTTTCGTCCTATTGTGGTACTCCTTAGCAGGACGAGACGGCCATCCAATGCTTCCACGTTTTTAATGGTGATCTAACACCAATTGATTCATGATTTCAATCAAATACGTAATAATCTCCACAACTCTATACTTATAATAATCTATCGAAGAATTTATGAATAAGTATCAGAAGGGGTTTTGTGGATATTATAGTAATTTTAATAGTTGAGATCATCAGTCAGTTGAAGCCAGACCACCAGGTAAAACCTGGAAGCACGAGACTGATAGGTCGTAGGTTCGAATTCCGTGAGACGGATCCGTGGATGCGCAACACCACTGAGGAGTTTCACAATAGGACGAAACGACCGTCCAGTGCTTCCAAGTTTTCCTTCGTGGTCTAGATTCAATTGACTCATGATCTGAACTACTGAAATTACTAGAATATCTACAAAAAACTCCTTCTCATATTAATCAACATATACTCACTAGTGATTGGATTCAAGAGGTATTTTCTGGAGTTTTAATGAGAAGCAGTGACTAGAGGAGTTCAATAGGGTCTGTTGTGAAATAGTAACTGAGTGGTGACAGTGGTGGATGTGTCGTTCAATCTGGTGGATCAGTTGAATTTAGATATTAACAGTGTTGGATATCACCTTAGTGGTTTCGATGTTGAGTGTTCGTGCGCGACACTGATAGGTCCTATATTGGAATCTGGCGAGACGGTATCATGGATGCTCACTGCCACTGAGGAGTCCGACGACGGGACGAATCGGTTATCCATTGCTTTCAGGTTTTTCATAGTGGTCTAGATTCAATTTACTCATGATCTCAACCATTGAAATAATTTTAATTATTGCCCAGTGATTAGTTTAATGTTTATTTGTTGAAGTTTGACCTACTTCCTTTGCCAAACTATTGATTATAGCTTACATCATTTTGTTATTCTCATCCTTATTATTAGTATACCCATGTTCTTACTATCTATTTATGCTTTTTACCGATTACGTATCTATTTCATTATAATTGTTGATTCATGATTTACCTTAACCAGTTTAATAATTTCATATTAAGATTCATTTATATTAAAATAAAGCCTAATGCAAATTTGATTGAAGGTAATATTGTTCTGTTATCTATTATGTTCAATAAGCAACAGTTAGAAAAGGAATTATGAAGAGGAATAACTACTAAAAGCGTTTAACAAGTATCAAACTAATTCTGTGCAATCTATTTTTATTAGTAATTGCTCAATAGCTGTGAAATAAATCTGTGTATAGACAAATGATTTACTCATATACTACGAATTACGGTCATTTAATGTTGTCAATTAATTGAAGTCCAGTATGTTATGGACTGAACACTACCGTAGTAGTAGTAGTAGTAGTGGTGGTATTGGTAGTATTGGTTGTAGTAGTAGTAGTATTGATAGTATTGGTAGTAGTAGTAGTAGTATTGGTTGTAGTAGTAGTAGTAGTGGTAGTATTGGTTGTAGTAGTAGTAGTATTGGTAGTATTGGTAGTAGTAGTAGTAGTATTGGTTGTAGTAGTAGTAGTAGTGGTAGTATTGGTTGTAGTAGTAGTAGTAGTATTGGTAGTAGTAGTATTGGTTGTAGTAGTAGTAGTAGTAGTATTGGTAGTATTGGTAGTAGTAGTAGTAGTAGTATTGGTAGTAGTAGTAGTAGTAGTATTGGTTGTAGTAGTAGTAGTAGTAGTATTGGTTGTAGTAGTAGTAGTAGTAGTAGTAGTAGTAGTAGTATTGGTAGTATTGGTAGTAGTAGTAGTAGTAGTAGTAATAGTAGTATTAGTGCTAGTAGTAGTAGTAGTATAAAGTTAATGATATGAGACTAACGGGTTGAATACTTGATTGAATATTAGGTATTCGATTCAGATCATGAAGCGAATGATGTTAGACTACTACTGAGAACCGAGAAGCACCGGACAGGGGCTTTGTCCTATTATGGGACTCCCCAATGGCAGTGCACATCCATGATCCCATTTCGAGAGATGAGAACACAGAATCTATCAGTCTCGCACGCGAACGCCTAACCTCTACATTACTGAGCTGGCCGACATCCAACGGTGTTACTATCTAACATCAAGTAACCCACGAAATTGATCGACCCATCCACCATTTTCATCAGTCAGTTACTATCTAACAACAGACTCGGTTGAACTTCACTAGTCACTGCTTCTCACTAGAACATCAGGAAATAACTCTTGAAGTCAATCACTAATGTGCATATTGTGATTATTATCAAAGAGGGGTTTTTATAGATCTTATTAGTATATTCAATAACTGAATTCATGAATCATAATAATATTAATATTAATGAAATTCATATTTACCTGAATGTTCAATTGTACATTATTGATAATTGAATTTAGAATAAAAAAAAGTCATTGCATTAATCTTTGGACTATCCGAATGAAAATTATTTAGGCTTATTAATATACATAAACAATTACGGATACTAATATAAGTAGTATCAGTATTAGTAGTATATATATTAGCATTATTATTATTATTGATTAATTCATACTTTAAGGTATTCAACATTCAATTATTCACAACTTCTAGTTGACTCTTTGTTTTAATAATAAGAGTAATTGTTTACTATTCAGTGAATTGATTACTGAGATTACTATTACTATTACTATGCTTATTATTATCATTATTATCATCATCATCATCATCATTGTAATTGTTTTGTTTGTTTGTTTGTTTGTTTCAATGCGTTATTTGTTATTGTGTAAAGCAGAAATATTAAAACAAAAAAAAGAAGAAAGGAAAGAGTTTTGTTTCAGGAAACAGAAATGTTCAATCATTTCTCATTGAATTTCACTGTCTCTATTCTTTTTCTATTTTGTTAATTCGATATTTTTGTTGTTTATGTTTTCGATTCAATCTATTTCATGTTGTTTGTTGTTGTTGTATGACTTGAAAATGTTTTCATAGTGAATAATGTTGTTTGTATTGTTTCTGTTCAATGTAACAAACTATTAAGTGAAACAGGTTGTAAAAATTAGTTTAGTTTAACAGGAATTTGTATCATCATCATCATCATCATCATCATCATCATCATCATCATCATCATCATCATCATCATCATCATCATCATCATCATCATCATCATCATCATCATCATCATCATCATCATCATCATCATCATCATCATCATCATCATCATCATCATCATCATCATCATCATCATCATCATCATCATCATCATCATCATCATCATCATCATCATCATCATCATCATCATCATCATCATCATCATCATCATCATCATCATCATCATCATCATCATCATCATCATCATCATCATCATCATCATCATCATCATCATCATCATCATCATCATCATCATCATCATCATCATCATCATCATCATCATCATCATCATCATCATCATCATCATCATCATCATCATCATCATCATCATCATCATCATCATCATCATCATCATCATCATCATCATCATCATCATCATCATCATCATCATCATCATCATCATCATCATCATCATCATCATCATCATCATCATCATCATCATCATCATCATCATCATCATCATCATCATCATCATCATCATCATCATCATCATCATCATCATCATCATCATCATCATCATCATCATCATCATCATCATCATCATCATCATCATCATCATCATCATCATCATCATCATCATCATCATCATCATCATCATCATCATCATCATCATCATCATCATCATCATCATCATCATCATCATCATCATCATCATCATCATCATCATCATCATCATCATCATCATCATCATCATCATCATCATCATCATCATCATCATCATCATCATCATCATCATCATCATCATCATCATCATCATCATCATCATCATCATCATCATCATCATCATCATCATCATCATCATCATCATCATCATCATCATCATCATCATCATCATCATCATCATCATCATCATCATCATCATCATCATCATCATCATCATCATCATCATCATCATCATCATCATCATCATCATCATCATCATCATCATCATCATCATCATCATCATCATCATCATCATCATCATCATCATCATCATCATCATCATCATCATCATCATCATCATCATCATCATCATCATCATCATCATCATCATCATCATCATCATCATCATCATCATCATCATCATCATCATCATCATCATCATCATCATCATCATCATCATCATCATCATCATCATCATCATCATCATCATCATCATCATCATCATCATCATCATCATCATCATCATCATCATCATCATCATCATCATCATCATCATCATCATCATCATCATCATCATCATCATCATCATCATCATCATCATCATCATCATCATCATCATCATCATCATCATCATCATCATCATCATCATCATCATCCGAAGCATCATCATCATCATCCGAAGCATCATCATCATCATCCGAAGCATCATCATCATCATCCGAAGCATTATCATCATCATCATCATCATCATCATCATCCGAAGCATCATCCGAAGCATCATCCGAAGCATCATCCGAAGCATCATCTGAAGCATCATCATCATCATCAATAGTAGTTGAGTTTGATTAGTGTGTCTCACATAAGATACCTATCTTCTGTGATATGAGACGGTTGTCAACTCATATAGACAATAGCTTGAGTTACGTATGTAGGTTGTTAGATTCCAATCCATCTATTTAAAGATAAAGCGTTCAGTGTCAGCCTAAAATATTGTAGACTCTAATATATATAAGGTTTTAGATGTTCATTGTTGATATGTTAGTTCACTTATTCATTATTAACATCATTAAAAACAATGAATAAAGTTATCCAGTCTTAAAGTATGTTAGATTCACAGTTTTAATCAGTGTAAGTTTGACCGAGATTTCTTAGTTTTTAAATAATAGGGTCTTGGAAACGAACAGTAGTGAGTTCGAGTTCTGGAGTGACTATCAACACTGCGATGCGAATAAATCCAACTGACGAGTCCGAAATAGGACGAAACATGCATCCTGGACTCCACTGCTAGCCGTTATCCATCTTTTCCTATAAAACTTGTGACTTGAAGCAATATAAAGGCAATCTGCATAGGATGGACATATGCCAATTCCAGTCCTGAACAATGATGGAGACATTCAAATAAACAATGCCAAGTGAATTTAATAAGTTCCTTGTTTTTCAAAATATATAAGTCATGTGTAACTATTTTAAAGTTATTCACTAAAATGTGAATATTTTACAAGTGGATTCGAAGTATAAATTCAACTCTACCACTTGTAAACAATGAAAAAGTAGTCAAATCACATGTCATTCATTCATCAATATGAATTATTAGATGAAATGATAATTCCTATTTAAAAGAATGAAAATTAGTGATCTGAAAGGAGAAGGTAATTTAATGAATGTATTCATAGTTTGAAGCTGATTTTTTTGTAGAGATCATGAACCGATTGATGTTGAACCATTGAAAACCTGGACTGAAAAGATAGACTATCATGGAAAACCTGGATGGCCATTTCGTCTTACTGTGGGACTTCTCAGCAGTGAGAATCTACAAGCCCACCTCACACGAGATCGATAGGTCGTCGGTTCGAATCTTGCGAGACGGGATCTTGTACGCACACTACTGATCAGTCCCATAGTAGGACGAAACGGCCGTCCAGTGCTTTCAGGTTCTCGATGGTGGTCTAACTTCAATTGACTCATAATCTCAACTATTGAACTAATAATAATATTAATAGTAGCAGTGTAATGAACAAGAACACGAGTTAGAACAATCGAACACAATTAAATATGGAATTACAAAACATTTTACTAAAATCCTAGAACTATACAGTAAATATTTAATTTGCAAAATATTAATCAATGGTCTAAAACTTGACTGTTCCTTTTTCAGAGTGTCAATCAATCATCTCAGATTTTATTTATATTGAATTTTCATATCAATTGCTTTCCATTTCCGTTCTTTCCTACCGAAATACATACCAATCCTGACTATTGTTACATGCTACTTATGTGAATATAAGTAGTTCACAACACAGTAGTAGTAACAATAACAATAATAATAATAGTAATAATTAATAGTAGTAGTAGTAGTAGTAGTAGTAGTAGTAGTAGTAGTAGTAGTAGTAATAGTAGTAATACTAATAATAGTAATAGTACTGGTAATGATAATAATAATAATAATAATAGTAAAGATATTGTATCGTTTTTTTACGCACCAATAACCTTAACGATGAACATGATGTAAATCGTTTTATTAATAATAATAATAATAATATTTAAGGAATATAATTATCATTTATGTTTCAATGAAACGCTTCTTATTCGACCTTAAATTGTTTTAATCAAATCCTGTTCAATTATAATAATAATATTAATAAGTAGTAATTATAATTAATTGATCATTTATTAGTTGAAGACCATTATTCAATAATGAATAGAAACAAAAAGGTTTTTATATGATTATCATTAATGGAATTAATAAGTATAGATATTTAATCTGATATTCATAATGATTGTTAGATGGTGTTGTAGGACTGAATTTGAGGTGCTAGTTAGAGTGGTCTGTTGAGTGGAGTTGACGTCGAATGAAGTGTTCTGGAGGGGTGGTATCAGATGTAGCAGTTGCTGTCGACGGAGAGGAGAGTAGGACATCCAGCTGCTGAGTGAACACCGGATTTAGATGGTTCAGCAGATCGCTGGAGCGCAGGTGTTGAATGTCCTAAATGCTCGATAAACACCGGATTTTGGTGGCCCGTCAGATCGATGGACTTGCGCTGCAGGCTAACACTTTAACGAAGAGTGCAATACAGACTGCAGAGAAGAAGAAAGTAGTATGGCGAGCAGAACCACCTTAAGGACGACTGCTTCAAAGGGGGGGGTGAGTGTGGTGTGTGCTATGGATATTTGTAGTATTTACCATCAATTGAAAGTGAAATTTCTGACGGTAGAAGGTGAAGAAGACCAAAGAAAGGAGAACGAGAACAAAGAATGATTGGTGTGGAAACCAAAGAATAATGAAATCTGAGATGATAGATTGATATTTGATATATTTATAGCTCAATTAGCTAACTTATCAGCCTTTCATTTTGTTAAGTTTTTTCACTGTTCATAAATTACCATTCTGCATTTAATATTGTGCTATCTAGACCTTTAATTGAAATAGATTACACTGATATGGTGATGAATTCGTCCATACATGATAGTCTTACCGAATTCTTTATGTGACACTCTTACAAACAATGCTATTGATGCAAAATATTATCTCTGTTCTTTGATGAATGTTTTATTACTAACAGCATTTACAACCCGGTTTATTTATATGTCTCTACTTCATTGAAAATGTATGACGAATGACTTTGTATTAGTACGTAAATAGAAGGATAGAAAAGATCGATATCAATATTGGTTATGCAGATTAAGTTTTTGATTGAGATCATTAATCAATTGATGTTAGATCATCATGGAAAACACAGAAGCATTGGACAGCTGTTTTGTCCTAGTTTGGGACTTCTCAGCATAGATAAATGGTTGCGCAGCCATTCATAGATCGGTGGAAGTTAGACATTAACACCTTTAGATGCCGTTTTGATGGTTTAGAGGTCAAGTGTTCGAGCATGAGACCGGAGGTCCTGTTCGAGTACCACGTGCGGAATCACGGATGCGCACTGGTGAGGAATCTCATATTAGAAGAAAAGATTGTACTATAAAGTGATTCAAGATGGTAAGTATCTTTTCTATCGTTACACCATATAACTATAAATACGAATATACAGCTTAGGTAAATGATTTCGTAGAAATGAAAATTCTCTTCACTTTCATTCAACGACACAATGGATAATTTAAATAATCTAAATAAATAGGCATACATATTATGTGTTCAACATATATATAATGATTAGAAACAATCACATCGACTTAAACATAGTTAATGTACGGGAAAAATATAAAATCAAGAATCCGATTCAGACAGTTAGTCAGTTACAACGTAAGACCAGACACATATATATGAATCGGTCCAAGTTGCCACGCCTCACTCATTAACACAACAAGATAAACACCGAATTAATAGAAGTAGTTAATTCAATAGTGGTAATATATAAAAGAAAGATTGCATATAAGGATATAGTACAGGAAGAAAGAATTAGTTTGTAGAAAGAAAGATATGAAGCGATTTTAATCTCATAGTTTAAAGGAAGACAGAAGGTGAATATACCTACGCCATTGTGACCGATTCTGAGCCATGTCACACAAAGTCTCCAACTATTCGTTACGATAGTCACGTGATCCCCAATTAATAATTCTGCATCTACCAACATGACTCAGACCAGAAGCCAGTGACTTCAAGTACTGATGCCACGTTTTGCTGTGGCCACCTTTAATTTTCTTCCAACCATCCCCAACACTAGTCAGCATTGTGCGTCATGGTAATCCGTGTTCAGGCATACGTAACACGTAGTCCAACAATCTCAGTCGAGGAACATTCACAACCTCATCAACTGATTTTCCATCATTCGCTAATACCCTGTGTCAAACCTCACTGTTATTTACCCGGTGATTCCAGCAGACGCGAACAATATTTCTACGATCATCTACGATCAAATACTAGTAACTTAGGAGTATCTCTGACTCTTACTGGCCACGTTTCATAGCCGTAAAGTAGAACACAACAAACTGCCATGCAGTATACTCGTTCCTTAATTGATAGACATATATCTCGCCTCCGCCATAGATGACGTAAGTTGGCAAAGGCAAAACAATCATTTCGAATCCCTGCAGAGATTTCGTTAGACACCAACCCATTAGTGCTAATCAGACTTCCAAGATAAGTGAAGTTTTCAATGCGTTCAACTAGTTCACTCCCTATCCTTAGTTCAAATATTGACGCAGACCAATCTTAAAGCAACAACTTGCATTCACAGAGGGAGGAGGGGAAGGGGGAGCGAGAAGAATCCGATTACATAATTCATTAAGAATATCTAGACGTATTTAAATGATTCCATTCTATTTTCATTTTATATAATTGAGACAGTCAGTGATAAAAGAATTGTGTGATATCGCTAATTCATTAAACATTGTGTGATTTCATTAATTTGATGTAATTAATAATAGAGAATGAAGGAAAAAAAACTAGAAGGGAGAAGAATGAATGAATCATTAAATAAACCTAAATCGTTGGGGAACAATGATTGAAATTTTATTATTTCATGCATTACGTGGAATCAGTCAATAAATATTGATATTTAAGAAATATTATCAGAAGGGGTTTTGTGGAGATTTCAGAAATTTCACTGATTGAAATCATGGGTCAAATGAAGCTAGATCACCATGGAAAACGTGGAAGCACTCGACGGCCTTTTCGTCCTAGTATGAGACTCCTTAGTGATGCTCATTCACGGTACTTCGCTAGGGATTCGAACGCAGTCTCGCGCCAGGCGCTTGACCAACGAGACCACCCGCAGGGTGCGGAATCGTGAATGTGCACTGTTTAGGAGTCCCATACTAGAACAAAAAGGTCGTCTAGTGCTTCCAGGTTTTCCATGGTTGTCTAGCTCTAATTGACTCATGATCTGAACCATTGAAATTACTACAATCTCCACAAAACGCCCTTCTAATCATATCAGTTCATTATGAATACAATTCACTGATATTAGTTAGATAACCATTAGAAATAGGAATAAACAACATTGATAAGTTACATGATTCTAATGTGGGACTGATCTTCAATATGGATCTACAACCCAAATATGGATAACATTTATAATCTCTATGTAAATGATATGGATTCGATTGATTTATATAGAATGTGCTATAATACATGAGCCACATCTATGGATATAATCAGATGAATGGGTTTTCATAGAGGTGATGTTGTATTTTGAAGAAAAAATACATAATTAAATACGTTCCGAAATGTATAAACTTCATATGAACACAACACTTATTCGGATTTTGTTAACATTCATTAACAGACAGTCGCTTTCAACTCTCTTAGTATAAATTGACTCACATCGGGGAATTTTCAGCTGAAATTCCTCAATTTACTATCATTTCATTAAATTGAAGTTTCAGTGTATATGAATTGTGAAACATAATTACGTTGATGAGATTGTACATATAATAGTTCTAATGATTCTGTTTAACTGAACTGAGAATATTTATTCATTAAATGAAATAAAGTTTTTATTAGAATATCGGAGTTTGATTATATTGGATTCTGATATCCAGGCAGTCAGTTGCAGACAGAATAGCTCCTGGCACAAATATACTTAACCCTACGTTTGTAGGCCATCTAGGCAGTTGACGTTTCCAAACATGATCAACCTAAAATGTTTTATTGCAATAAACATTTAATATTGAGTGAAACTATTAATATTTCCTAAGGACCCTATTCCTTATCTCAGTAATTTCCTTCTAGTCAATTCACGAAACTGTAGTCATTTATGATCAAAAACACTCAGCGAATTCATGACTTTTATTTCATCGGCTATGTTTTACGGCCGTAGTTTACTGTCCTATAACTTAGCTAGCAATTAGGATGAACATGTCATCCTACAGGTGATGCGAGTTGGTGAGATTCAACAGAATCATAGATGTGCACTGCCACTGAAGAACCCCACTATAGGACGAAACGGCCGTCTAGTGTTTTTAGGTTTTCAGTGGTGGTCTAACATCAATCGATTCATGATCCCGATCAAAAAACTTAATAATCTCCCGAATCCTATACTAAGAATTTCTTAATTGTAATTCTACTAATATTTAGGAATAAATTAATCAACTTATGTTACCAATACAAATGTTCATTCACTAATTCTATCGAGATTGTTAACAATTAATATTGTATTGTATTGACGTATTAGATATAGACGTGTTGCTTACTTGTATCTTTCAATTAATGTTTAGGACTGCAACTGATCGGTCTCTTTTTGGCATATGTTCATCCTGTGCGGACTGCCTCGATATAACCTCAAGTCGCAAGCTGCTAGTTCACTGCTAGCCACTATCCATCTTTGCTTAAAAAGCTTGTGACCTCAGGCAAAATCGAGACATTCCACACAGGATGCACATATGCCAATAACAGACTGATCAACTGCAGTCCTAAATAACAAAGGGAAGATACAAGTAAACAACACCGAGTGAATATAACTTCACCCCGTTGCACAAGCACGTGGCTATCATGACTCAGTATCTAACTGGATGATACGATAGCATTTGGAGCGTACAGTACTATGTTCGAGTCCTGGAATGAACATCAACTCTGTGATGCAAGTACATCCAGCTGACGAGTTCTGAATAAGACGAAACGCGCGTCAAACTGGATTGCAGTGTTAGCCGCTATCCATCTTTACTTATAAATTTAATGTTCCATTTAATACGTCAAGTAAGTATAATCAGTTGATAAGTCTTATAAATTGCTTACCAAAATACGTGATCTATATATTCCTCATAGTTATGATCTTTGGTAAGGTTCAACTAAATAATACAAACTAGAAACATTCTTTCTACAGGCGTTTACTTAATAATAACAAAAATAATTTCATATATATTGATGTATTCGTGAAATTCTATAAGATAATGTACTCTTCTATCAAAGAACTAATCCATGACCTGATGAGGTATACAAATTTATATGAATAATTTCATAATATTTTATATCGTACAATTTTCTTTTTTTCTTTCTGTTACTAAGTGGATATCAACTGCATCACAAGGCAATCCTTCAATTAAAGTCTTCAAGACCAAATAAAGAAGAAGAAGGAGATCAAAGACCACATCGCACCGACAAACGGAGACAGACATATCCTAGAGAGACCTAGGAGAGAGTGGGTTGGAGAATCCTGGTCGGAGACCTATTCTCCATTGGGAGTAACGGGATTAATTAGTTAAGTAAGTGAGTGAATATCGAATTGAAAAGATACAGTATTGATTAATGAATACCTAGGTGATTATTTAACATTGAGTATATGTTTCAATCAATAAATTGAATATAATCAATCATGATGTTTAGTTGAGAGCATTTATTTCCATAATAATTCCTTACAAAATATGAATGGATTGTATAGATTTCATAGTTTATATAGGTATGAATTTGCTAGTTTACTAGGATATAGATTGTAAAAATCATTGAATTTACAAATTCCTTTTGTGAATAACAACGAAAACCTGGGCAACATAGGAAAACTATTTTATCACAGTACCGAACTCTTCAGTGAGTGTGTTCATGACCACCTCCCTTCGTCTTCAGAGATAAAACCCAGGACCTTCAGATCTTACAGCAAACATTCAAAATTTAATCTATTGATTCACCATTCAACTGTTTGCACTTCATACATGTCTACCATGCATTTCATAAATGATACTTATTTAAAATCCAATATAATACTGAATATAACTCCGCGCGGAGCCCCTCTTAGGCCAATGCCAGTCCCAATCCCGGATAAAGGAGGAGGCTTGGGCATGGGATTGACGACCCCATCCCGTAGAAAACTGACGAGCGAAGAATAATATCGAATATACAACTTCATCTTTTATTCATCTTCATATAATGTAGTGAGTATAAAAAACAGAGAGTAAAAATAATTGTCATGGTTACTTGAAGGTTTTTGATTCATACATTTGTATTAGCAAAATACACTTCTCATGTACCTAAGTAAGATCATTTTCAATACACAATTAAACAATCTATCTACACTTCATTGACTAACTATATTATTGTTACTTGTCAACGATTAATAATAAACACAATTATTTACATAATATTTCCATTGATAACGTTTTACTTCATACTCTATTCAAAGACCTATTCAATTGAATCATAACTAAAATACTACTGTTTGTTAAACAGATCAGTTAGACACTTTCATTTACCTAGATACATCTGATTAGTATCCTATTGTATGTACTGGATAGAGTTTATTAGTATCTAAGCATAGAATATTGTTCTTCTAATCATACACATTCTATAGTAGTAATCATGGATAATAGTTGCTATAATATTAATAAAAGCTTTAATTGTAAATCATTATAAACTAAGTAAATGTGTAAACATTAAATATATTACAAATACACTTTATCATTTTATTAATACATAACGATAACAAATAGGAAACCATTCATGCCTAATTAATTAATTATTATCATGATGACAGCGTTATTGTACTTATCGTTATTATTGTTAGTAGTATTAGTATTATAATAATAAGTAGTAGTAGTAGTAGTAGTAGTAGTAGTAGTAGTAGTAGTAGTAGTAGTAGTAGTAGTAGTATTGGTAGTAGTAGTAGTAGTAGTAGTAGTAGTAGTATTGGTAGTAGTAGTAGTAGTAGTAGTAGTATTGGTAGTAGTAGTAGTAGTAGTAGTAGTAGTAGTAGTAGTATTGGTAGTAGTAGTAGTAGTAGTAGTAGTAGTAGTAGTAGTAGTAGTAGTAGTATTGGTAGTAGTAGTAGTAGTAGTAGTAGTAGTAGTAGTAGTAGTAGTAGTAGTATTGGAAGTAGTAGTAGTAGTAGTAGTAGTAGTAGTAGTATTGGTAGTAGTAGTAGTAGTAGTAGTAGTAGTAGTATTGGAAGTAGTAGTAGTAGTAGTAGTAGTAGTAGTATTGGTAGTAGTAGTAGTAGTAGTAGTAGTAGTAGTAGTAGTAGTATTGGTAGTAGTAGTAGTAGTAGTAGTAGTAGTAGTATTGGTAGTAGTAGTAGTAGTAGTAGTAGTAGTAGTAGTAGTAGTAGTATTGGTAGTAGTAGTAGTAGTAGTAGTAGTAGTAGTAGTAGTAGTAGTAGTATTGGTAGTAGTAGTAGTAGTAGTAGTAGTAGTAGTAGTAGTAGTATTGGTAGTAGTAGTAGTAGTAGTAGTAGTAGTAGTATTGGTAGTAGTAGTAGTAGTAGTAGTAGTAGTAGTATTGGTAGTAGTAGTAGTAGTAGTAGTATTGGTAGTAGTAGTAGTAGTAGTAGTAGTAGTAGTAGTAGTATTGGTAGTAGTAGTAGTAGTAGTAGTAGTAGTAGTAGTAGTATTGGTAGTAGTAGTAGTAGTAGTAGTAGTATTGGTAGTAGTAGTAGTAGTAGTAGTAGTAGTAGTAGTATTGGTAGTAGTAGTAGTAGTAGTAGTAGTAGTAGTAGTATTGGTAGTAGTAGTAGTAGTAGTAGTAGTAGTAGTAGTAGTATTGGTAGTAGTAGTAGTAGTATTGGTAGTAGTAGTAGTAGTAGTAGTAGTAGTAGTAGTAGTAGTAGTAGTAGTAGTAGTAGTAGTATTGGTAGTAGTAGTAGTAGTATTGGTAGTAGTAGTAGTAGTATTGGTAGTAGTAGTAGTAGTAGTATTGGTAGTAGTAGTAGTAGTAGTAGTAGTAGTAGTAGTAGTAGTAGTAGTAGTATTGGTAGTAGTAGTAGTAGTAGTAGTAGTAGTAGTAGTAGTAGTAGTAGTATTGGTAGTAGTAGTAGTAGTAGTAGTAGTAGTAGTATTGGTAGTAGTAGTAGTAGTAGTAGTAGTAGTAGTAGTAGTAGTAGTAGTAGTAGTAGTAGTATTGGTAGTAGTAGTAGTAGTAGTAGTAGTAGTAGTATTGGTAGTAGTAGTAGTAGTAGTAGTAGTATTGGTAGTAGTAGTAGTAGTAGTAGTAGTAGTAGTAGTAGTAGTAGTAGTAGTAGTAGTAGTATTGGTAGTAGTAGTAGTATTGGTAGTAGTAGTAGTTGTAGTAGTAGTAGTAGTAGTAGTAGTAGTAGTAGTAGTAGTAGTCAATAATAAATTATGTGGGGACAACCGAATATATTTGAACACGAAATTACAGAAAATCTTACGAAAATCTGAGGTCCATGCAGTAATTACTTCACTTGCAAAATATCAATCAATCCTATCAAACTCGACTGTTTCTTTTGCAAATATCAGTTCATCGTCTCAGATTTCATTGTTCCTGCATTTTCATACTAATTACTTTCCGTTCCCGTGTAGTGTGTGCTACTGATGTCAACATATATAAGTAGTATGCATAACCGACAGATGTCTATTTTCTATTTTACGGTGTGATGTAGTCTGTTTAGTTTTTATGTAAACCCAGTATGTCTGAAATAAATGATTCATATCGTAGATGCTGAGATTAGTGATCTGCACTCAACAAGCAGGGCTAGGATGGAAGGATGGTCGATATATACACTGGATAGGCGCTATGATGTTAATCTACAATATAAATATCAACTAAAACACTTTATATGACAAAGTGGACTCAATTAAGATTTCAAAGATTAAATAAGAAATATGAAAAGGTTAACATTTTATGCTCGATCTTCCAATGTAAGTCCACGTCTGTGGATTTCATATTGGGAAATCCATGGGATGGACAGAAGATATAACTAAACAAGGTACTTCAAAGTTGTGTTAATTTAACATCATGATTAAAAGGCATCGTTCACTCGCATCTGAGCGACACCACACGAATTTTAAAGTCAGTTAACCGGTGAAAATAATCAAAATCCTCGTGTGATATTCCAACTTTACCACCATAATTAAACGGTTTAAATTAAGTTACTGTAAACATTGAAGTTGGTAATGTTCTGTTCATCTCTCACATCGTTGCTAAACATTCCCTCATTCAATGATGTTGAAAATTCAGCCAGTAACTTATTTTTTGATGGAGACGCTTTTGGAGATCACCTTCTTCACGTACTGACCTCAGTCAACTTATAAGTGAAAAACAGGGAACAGCTTATTCATCGTATGCTGAGACTACTCAAACATACGATGCTATCGGCGAACGAGATCGAGACCTCCAGATCACATGGTGAGTGCCTAACTAGTAGACCACTGAGTCGTCATCCTGTCATACACATTTCCGTCTTTATTTACTTCCTGATATAAAACAACAAATATCCACTATCTCTAATGATGACTGTTTTATTCTGAATAGGTCTAATCATCATGACTCCCCCTTGTTTCAGTTATCCACTTTCGTACTGTGGTTAAGTGTTCCTTCTCTTTTCTGCATGAACAATCGCCAGTAGTTCCTGATCGTTGACTTTGTACAAATTCTATTTAATCCATACATCATAACTATCACAGAAATTGAACTCATTCAAACATAAAAATAACTTTGAATGTACATCCATACTAGGACGAAACGACCGTCCAGTACTTCTAGGTTTCCCATGGTGGTCTAGTTTCAATTGACTCATGATCTCACTTATTGAAATTTCTTAAATCTCCACAAAACCTCTTCTGATAATAATCATCTGCTCACTATTGACTGACTTCAAGAGATATTTCCTGGAGTTCTAGTGAGAATCTGTGACCGGTAGAGTTCAACTAGGTCTGTTGTGAGATATCAGCTCACTAAAGACAATGGTGTATGGTGGCGCGACTTCGCGGATTAGTGGAAGTTAGGCATTAACACCGTTGGATGCCGGCTTGCTCAATGGTCTAGATGTTAAGCGCTCTCGCATGAGACTGATATTTCCTAGGTTCGAATCTCGCAGGTGGCGGGATCGTTGTTGAGTACTGCCGAGGAGCCCCAGTGGTTTCAGGTTTTCTATAGTGGTCTAGCTTCAATTGACTCATGATTTCAACTACTGAAATCTCTAAAATCTCCACAAAAGCTTTTGTGATAGTGAAAAAATGCTTGTTGCTACCCAATTAATAAATCACGGTTTTTTAACTTTTTCCAAGTTTTTATTTAACGAAAACTATCATCATCGGAATTAGTATGAAATGAAATAGAATAATCATGGCTATGAACAACCAGTAAATTTTTCTGGTGAGACTATCATTTATGGATCACCTTTGAGCGACGCTTGAGATTGTCTTCCTACATACTACGGCGAAATGAATTCTATAAACCAGTGTGTAAGGAATTCGAATTATGATTTACAATTGATAGTTAAGGTTGGGAATTAGATTTCGAGTTTTCATCATGAATTGACATCACTTATAATGCCAAATGGATGAATAAATTTCGCACCAAAATTCAAGATCTATTCCCTTAAATGTGATTGGTTCATTCAGAAATTATACTCCCACTATGGGAAAATAATCTATTCTATATTATTACAGTTGAGATCATAAAATGAATCATAACCTGATTATCACTATATTATTAAGAAGCATCGATGATTTCATTAAGGTCAATAAAAATATCAAACGTTTCATTCATTTCCGTATCTTTCTTTTTTTTTAAAAAAAAAATTTTGTTTTAACTTATTACTCTCATATACCATAGAAACATTTAGTTGCTTAGATGATTGTCTCTTTTCATAATGAATTGTTTCTTAGATAATATTAAATCATGTTTTTTCTCTCTGGTTCTGTATACAAAGGGATAGAGCGAGAAAGAGAGAGAGAGAAAAAGGGAAATAAAAAAGAAACAGAAGAGAATCTATTCAAATTTCAGAATAGATAAATAACCAAATAAATTGGTGACCTTAAATGGATAATCTTCCTTCTTTTTTTTTCTTCTTCCTGAATATGAAATCAGTTTAATTCAATTAGTTTTAACAACAACAACGACAACAAAATTAGAGAAAAAAAATAAAAAAACATTTAAATGACGTCTACAAAATGTTTCAATTTGTTTTTTCTCTATTTTTTCTCTTTTTTCTTTTCTTTTTTCTTTTATTTTTTTCCATTTTTTTTTGTAAAAAAAATACCAAAAAAATTATCAAATTTATATGATCAATTTACTTATTTATTTATTAATAAGTTTAGATTTAATATAAATAAAGGTCATTAATGATTGAATGATTATGTTTGTCAATAAAATGTAAAATGATCGGTCTTATTTGCTTGTTTGTTTGTTTGTTTGTTTGTTTTAAGTTTACTTTACATGAATCAGAAAGGTAGAATGAATGAAACAGAAATAAACGAACATTACACTGTTTGGTTTCTGTTTTCTATCAACAAAAAAAAGAAGAGGAGGAGAGATTTATTCACTATCTTAGTAACTAATTTGTCAATAGGACAGTTATGGATATATCAGAAAGGGTGATTATTATGAATATTCAAGTCATTTTAAATCGTTGAAATCATGAATTCATTGAAGCTAGACAACCATGGAAAATCTGAAAGTACTGGATGACTGTTTCGTCCTATTGTGAGAATCCTCAACAATGCATATCCACGATATCGCCTCACGAGATTTGAACACAAGACCTATCAGTCTCGCGCGTGAATGCTTAATTTCTAGACTACTTAGCCGACCGGCAACCAACACTGTTAATGTCTAACTTCAATTAATCCATCAAATTGAGCAACATATCCATCATGGTTTTCAGTGAATCACTATCTCACAACAGACCCGGTTATGTATAACAAATATAAAACTATTACAATTATAATCAGAGAAAAATTTTCGTGGATATTATAGTAATTTAAATGTTGAATTCATGAGTTAATTAAAGCTAGACCACCATGGGCGATCTGTGTTCAGGTTCCGAGTACGCGATCGTGGACGCACACTGATGAGGAGTCCCACAATAGAACGTTTTGAATAGTGGTCTAGCTTCAATTGACTCATGAACTCAATTGTTATAATACAGTTACATTACATGACTGAATATTACAATTATGTTTATCAAATATGAAGAAACTATTTTATTGATTAGATTTTGTGAGATTTTGTTTGTTTTGACGTATTACAGATTGAGACCTATTGAGATCCAATCAAAATAAAATGTCTTTAGAAGCGAAAAATGCTTCGTTCAATCAGTATTCAGTTTAAATTACTTAATGAGTTCTAGGAAAAATGATGGTTTATTGGTTATATCTTGATTTGATTATTATCAATGGTGTTTTTAATGTCAACGTACTTCCAAGTTATATGAATATCAATAAATATACAACGTTTTCTGTGCTTATATCAATCGTGTAAGTGAAACTTTTCTTTTGGTTTATACCTCTTATCATCTATTCTGAAATCATATTGTTTGAGATTTACTAAGTGATAGGAAACGGTTAGAAAGTCATTGGTAACTACTAAAAAATAAGAAGATATGCATTGATTGTTAGTATTGTCTGTGTTTGATGCCACTATCGATTGATTAGGGCTGGAGCTTAACATAATGTTTAAAACGGGAATGACAAATCGATTAATATGACCGTCAAACAAACTTAACTAAGATATTGAAGATATATGTCTTACACTATCAATCATTGATAATTTTGATATGCTATTTGCCTCAACAAAACTTCTGTTAAACAAATGTATGGTATCAGTAACTTTTGACTGAACCGCATCCCGGTGATGTAGACATTCTATATTGCGATCACAAAAATGATCACAATCTAAATCTGCGAATTCGAATGTACGGTCATTGACAGTGTACATGTACAATCTAATCATGAATCAGGCTCGAAATCCTCGAACTTCTTGAAGAAATTCTAGACTTCATACTACTGAATTTATACTTGTAACTTTAGTCATGTTGTGATATTTGGTATGATACAAATATCCCTAGTGGAAGTAAGTAATGATCCAGCTAGATACGATCAACATAGTCAGAAGTATAATCACAATTGACTGATCACTGGGTGGTGATCAGTGTCCTGTGTGTCAAGTTCTTCTTAGTGCAGATCGAATGCTATCGACTAAGTTGCAATGTGGCCACTAGTCTAGGTGACTCGACATTGTGTGAACTATGTTGAGATAAGATGATGGTTGGAGGTAGTCAACAGGAGGTCAGACGAGGCCCAATAGCTCAGTGGTAACGTCTCTAACTGTGAAGATGGGTGACAAAGGATTGAATCCCTCAGGGAGGATCAGTTCCCTCAAGATGACAGTTACACCTTGCTGACGAGTGTCAAGTAGCACGAAACCTGGGTCCAGGATTTCCTGTTGACTATCTCCAACCAACATCTAACTCAGAAGTGTCCACACCTCCTATGAACTGATGATAAATTTCTCTTTGGCTGGGCAACTGTCAAATCTGATATCTCAAACTAAGGAAAATTATTCATCTTGCATTCTAACATTAATTGCAACTGATCAATGTGTTATTATTTATGCAAACAGATTTAATACAGAAGATTAATTAACCAGTAGGATGGTTGAGAAATTTTGAACCTTGTTGATCCGTATATTAAAAAGTACAATTTTAGTTGGGGGATTTTCGATAGACGAATACTCTTTACCATTTGGTTTACATAATAACTTACATTATAATAGTAATTTGCTAATAGTAAAGTTTAACTATATCGAAAATACAACAGGTATCATCATTTATTATCAATATTGATCTTTGAGTGTACTAGCAAAGGAAACCTAAAATTATTGATTTAAATTTCTTATGGAGTTATAGGTGTACAATGATTAAGAGTACTAAATAAGGAAAAATGTACTCTAATAATTATACTATTTATTAACTTATACCTACTTAATGGAATAAATAAACAACGTATGTATTATTTGAAATCAATAGATATGTTTAGTTCTTATTGTAAAACCAATAATCCCGCGAGTGGAATACAGTGTGATACACACTGCTGAAGAATCTAACAATAGGATGAAACAGCAATCTAGTACTGTCAAGTTTTCAATGATGATCTTACATCAATCACGAATGCAGAAACATAAAAACCTCTAAAAATCGATTGGTTAAAATTAGACATTAACACCGTTGGATGCCAATTGGTTCAGTGATCTAAAGGTTAAGTGTCCATGCACAAGACTGAAGGCCTTGGGTTCAAATCCCGCGAGCCGAGTCATGGATGCGCACTGCTACTGAGGCGCCTCATATAATAGGATGAAACGGTCGTCCAATGGTTCCACGTTTTCAATGATGATCTAACATCAATCGGTTCATGATCTCAATCAAAATATCGATTAAGTAAATTATGGAAAAATATTTTTTTGTTTAAAAAAGATCACATTTAAATAGATAAGAAAGATTTGTTTTCTATCAATTGACATTAGTAACAAGTCATTGAATAATTTATCTTTTGATTTTTCTTTAGTATCTAAGTGTTTTTTTGTGTTTTTTTAAAAATATAAAATATCATTGGTCATTGACCGCTGCTCATGATGGAATGAAATAGATTGCACACACACACACATACATATACATACACACAAACACACACACGCATGCACAAACAATCCACTTAGATACTATCATTTAAATTTTCTTCCTTTTTTTACAGTTTATGATTAAGAAAAAACAAAGTCAAATATTTTATTCATTTTATATGGTAATGTTCAGTTGTCACGTAAGAAAATGAGGTTTTAATGCTGTGAAACATGATGGAGTTTGTATGTTTATTTTTTTCTTCTATGAATTCACCTAAACTAGATTAATTTAATGATATGAATAAATAATTGATTTCTTCATGAATCTTATGAAGTGGGGTCGTGGATACGTACTGCCACTGAGGAGTCCCATACTAGGATGAAACGACCGTCGAATGCTTTCAGGTTTTCTATGTCGGTCTAACTTCAATTGACTCATGATCCCCTTCTGATATTAATGATAGATGGTTAGAAATAGTACAAAACAATTACATATTAATTTCAACAGTTGATATTATTAATCAATTGAAATTAGATCATAATGCAAAACGTAGAAACACTGGACGACTGTTACATCCTATTGTGAGACTCTTCATTAGTGCACATCCACAATCAAATCTTGAGAGATTTGAACCCAGAACCTATTAGTCTTGCAGTAAATAGGCACATAGTCAATTCAAAATCTCAGTAACTGAAATTTAAGGGAATCCAAAGTTTCACTCAACAATTTGATCGACGTTAATTGTGATATTCGATTACATTTTGCTGTAAAAGCTTAAGACAGATTGTCAATTGAAATGTTGAAGTTACTTAAAGAATGAAAACATCTTACTTACTAGTTTTATACTCTACATAGAGACATTTTCTAAGTAAAGTTTAATGAATTCGATGTTAAAATTCTTATAATTTATGGTTTAATGCCCTATTATTATAAATAACGTAGTGATTTATTAACCGAAGCCATGATGGAAAAACCCGTACGAACAGTCAAAAATTTTTATCGGTCCTGATTCCCGCCTAGCCCTGCCGGCTGAATGTAGAACACCAATCTCAGCCTCTGCGATATGAATCATGCATTTCAAACAAATTAGCTTTATACATAAACCAAACAGACTACATCATACCATAAAATAGAAAATACATATTTGTAAAACTGCTAGCCAAAACTGGTTGTGAATGTGGAAGATTGTAATTAAGAGATTGCGCATAACTCAACAATAGTAAATCAAATAATAATGATCTATAGGTCACAATAAAGCTTATAATAAGAGAAACATGAATATGCATAATTCAGTTAACTAATAATTATACAATAATAACATACGCATCGTATTGGTTTACAAATAGTTCTGAAATGTTACCATTCATAATTCTCGTCGGGATATAACAAGATTACTACTAGTACTACTACTGTGGTAATCTTCTTAACCTTCTGCCTCCAGACATTTCTTTCGATTGATGATACATGCTACTTATATATGTTGACATCAGTAGACACACACCACACTACTACTACTACTACTACTACTACTACTACTGTGGTGTGAGCTACTCATATCCACATAAGTAGTACACAACAATAGTCAGGTATAGAATGTAATTCAGTAGAAGATCGGGCAAGAAATAACAGAAAAAGAAAGTAATTCTTATGAAAATACAAGGAAAATGGAATCTGAAACGATAGACTATCACAATAAAACTCATAATAAGAGGAACATGAATAAGCATAGTTTACGTATTTAACTATTATGCAATAAATACTATATATATCGTATTAGTCTATAAATAGATCCCACTAGTTACCATTCATTATTCTTATCAGATTAGATCAGAACTATGTGGGATCAATAAATGTGTTTAATTATTATTATTATTATCATATGGTTACTTTTATATTCTTATAATAATGATAATCATAAATATTAGAAGAGATAACCTTCAAAGAACCGTTGAATAGGATCAGTTCAACATGATTAATGATAGCGATTCGTTTTTCTTTCTTTCTTTCTTTCTTTCTTTCTTCCTTTTTTATTATTTATCGTTTTGATCTATTTTATGAATTATGCATATATGACATTTCTAATATGTTGAAACAATAGAATGATCTATATCTATATCTATATCATTCTATTCTATAACATCATAAATGTTCATATCATGTTATTATTATTATTATAAAGGACTCAAATGATCATAATTGTTTCACTAATGCAACTAATAATTCACATGCTGATATCATATTGGGTAAATATGATAACAATGAATACAAACACTTTCAATGCATAAATCATCTCATTTGTATTCGGAATATGTAATATACTACATATATAAGTACACAAGTACATTCTTAATTACACAAATTACAACTATGCAAAGTGACATAGAAACTGGGGAAAGAAAAAAAATAGAGAAAAGAAAGAAAAGCAAAGGAAAAAAGAAAACGCCAATAAAATTAATGATGATGATGATGATGATAATAATAACGGTAATGTTCATCTATAAAAGTTTTTCTTCTCTTTTGAAATTCATTTATTACCACTTGATAAAATAGTCAATGTTCTTCTTATAATTGGCTTTAATATACAATTTATTTATATAAATATATTTGTGTTAGTTGTAATGTGTAATTTACATTTGGTTTCTTCGGTATATGTGTGGCTATGTATGTATGTATGTATGTATGTAGGTAGGTAGGTAGGTAGGTAGGTAGGTGGGTAGGAAAGGAGGGAGGGAAGTGAATAGTTAGGTAGGTAGGTAGGTAACATTCTCTCCTCCTTAACATGTTTTTTTTACTCTTTACAATAGTAACTAATTGATTTTAAGTGAATTCAACAAGAATATTAATATTGGCATGTTTTTTTTTGTCTTGTTCATTTATTCGAATTAATTTCTAATGAGATATTAAGGTGACAGAATACAAAAAGGGAAAAAAAAGAAAGAAAGAAAGAAATAATCATCTGACATGAATATTCATCGATACGTGTGTGTGTGTGTGCGTGTGTGTGTGTGCACGTATGTGTTCATACCTACAATATAATTGATTTTGTGTAATTGATTTTGATAAAACAATTTTTGTATTAAAAATAAGTTTCTTCTTTTTTTTTCTTCAAAAACTCTTCTATATAGTTGCTATGGTTTTATCTTTAATAAATATAGTAGCATAATAAAAGTGAACTGTCAGTCAATCTTAAAATTCTTACATAATTACCAGAAAGTGTTGATCAAATTAAGATGTAATTTTTAAAAGGGGATTTTGTGGATATTATAGTAATTTTAATGGTTGAAATCATGAGTCAATTCAAGCTAAATCACTATGGTAAACC